TTTTCGATGGGGCCCACCTGGGCCCACAGGACCCAATTGAAATTTGGGGCCCAATGGGGCGGCCCCTACGATTTTCTTCAAAATTGGCACAGACACTCTCCTGGGCCCCCTCTTCAATCTGGCTGAAGAAACCTACCGGGGAATCCAAAGGAAGGGGCCCAAAGAGGGCCCCAAAGAGGCCCTTTCTAAGTATTGCCCCTAATTTCGCAACCAACCCCGGCAATATGCACATCATTGGAAAGAGCGTAATTTCCCAAACAAAAAACCCAAGTAACATTTTTCGATGGGGCCCACCTGGGGCCCACAGGACCCAATTGAAATTTGGGGCCCAATGGGGCGGCCCCTACGATTTTCTTCAAAATTGGCACAGACACTCTCCTGGGCCCCCTCTTTAATCTGGCTGAAGAAACCTACCGGGGAATCCAAAGGAAGGGGCCCAAAGAGGGCCCCAAAGAGGCCCTTTCTAAGTATTGCCCCTAATTTCGCGACCAACCACGGCAATATGCACATCATTGGAAAGAGCGTAATTTCCCAAATAAAAAACCCAAGTAACATTTTTCGATGGGGCCCACCTGGGGCCCACAGGACCCAATTGAAATTTGGGGCCCAATGGGGCGGCCCCTACGATTTTCTTCAAAGTTGGCACAGACACTCTCCTGGGCCCCCTCTTTAATCTGGCTGAAGAAACCTACCGGGGAATCCAAGGGAAGGGGCCCAAAGAGGGCCCCAAAGAGGCCCTTTCTAAGTATTGCCCCTAATTTCGCGACCAACCCCGGCAATATGCACATCATTGGAAAGAGCGTAATTTCCCAAACAAAAAACCCAAGTAACATTTTTCGATGGGGCCCACCTGGGGCCCACAGGACCCAATTGAAATTTGGGGCCGAATGGGGCGGCCCCTACGATTTTCTTCAAAATTGGCACAGACACTCTCCTGGGCCCCCTCTTCAATCTGGCTGAAGAAACCTACCGGGGAATCCAAAGGAAGGGGCCCAAAGAGGGCCCCAAAGAGGCCCTTTCTAAGTATTGCCCCTAATTTCGCGACCAACCCCGGCAATATGCACATCATTGGAAAGAGCGTAATTTCCCAAACAAAAAACCCAAGTAACATTTTTCGATGGGGCCCACCTGGGGCCCACAGGACCCAATTGAAATTTGGGGCCCAATGGGGCGGCCCCTACGATTTTCTTCAAAATTGGCACAGACACTCTCCTGAGCCCCCTCTTCAATCTGGCTGAAGGAACCTACCGGGGAATCCAAAGGAAGGGGCCCAAAGAGGGCCCCAAAGAGGCCCTTTCTAAGTATTGCCCCTAATTTCGCGACCAACCCCGGCAATATGCACATTATTGGAAAGAGCGTAATTTCCCAAACAAAAAACCCAAGTAACATTTTTCGATGGGGCCCACCTGGGGCCCACAGGACCCAATTGAAATTTGGGGCCCAATGGGGCGGCCCCTACGATTTTCTTCAAAATTGGCACAGACACTCTCCTGGGCCCCCTCTTTAATCCGGCTGAAGAAACCTACCGGGGAATCCAAAGGAAGGGGCCCAAAGAGGGCCCCAAAGAGGCCCTTTCTAAGTATTGCCCCTCTTTGGGGCCCTCTTTGGGCCCCTTCCTTTGGATTCCCCGGTAGGTTTCTTCAGCCAGATTGAAGAGGGGGCCCAGGAGAGTGTCTGTGCCAATTTCGAAGAAAATCGTAGGGGCCGCCCCATTGGGCCCCAAATTTCAATTGGGTCCTGTGGGCCCCAGGTGGGCCCCATCGAAAAATGTTACTTGGGTTTTTTGTTTGGGAAATTACGCTCTTTCCAATGATGTGCATATTGCCGGGGTTGGTCGCGAAATTAGGGGCAATTCTTAGAAAGGGCCTCTTTGGGGCCCTCTTTGGGCCCCTTCCTTTGGATTCCCCGGTAGGTTTCTTCAGCCAGATTGAAGAGGGGGCCCAGGAGAGTGTCTGTGCCAATTTTGAAGAAAATCGTAGGGGCCGCCCCATTGGGCCCCAAATTTCAATTGGGTCCTGTGGGCCCCAGGTGGGCCCCATCGAAAAATGTTACTTGGGTTTTTTGTTTGGGAAATTACGTTCTTTCCAATGATGTGCATATTGCCGGGGTTGGTCGCGAAATTAGGGGCAATTCTTAGAAAGGGCCTCTTTGGGGCCCTCTTTGGGCCCCTTCCTTTGGATTCCCCGGTAGGTTTCTTCAGCCAGATTGAAGAGGGGGCCCAGGAGAGTGTCTGTGCCAATTTTGAAGAAAATCGTAGGGGCCGCCCCATTGGGCCCCAAATTTCAATTGGGTCCTGTGGGCCCCAGGTGGGCCCCATCGAAAAATGTTACTTGGGTTTTTTGTTTGGGAAATTACGCTCTTTCCAATGATGTGCATATTGCCGGGGTTGGTCGCGAAATTATGGGCAATACTTAGAAAGGGCCTCTTTGGGGCCCTCTTTGGGCCCCTTCCTTTGGATTCCCCGGTAGGTTTCTTCAGCCAGATTGAAGAGGGGGCCCAGGAGAGTGTCTGTGCCAATTTTGAAGAAAATCGTAGGGGCCGCCCCATTGGGCCCCAAATTTCAATTGGGTCCTGTGGGCCCCAGGTGGGCCCCATCGAAAAATGTTACTTGGGTTTTTTGTTTGGGAAATTACGCTCTTTCCAATGATGTGCATATTGCCGGGGTTGGTCGCGAAATTAGGGGCAATTCTTAGAAAGGGCCTCTTTGGGGCCCTCTTTGGGCCCCTTCCTTTGGATTCCCCGGTAGGTTTCTTCAGCCAGATTGAAGAGGGGGCCCAGGAGAGTGTCTGTGCAAATTTTGAAGAAAATCGTAGGGGCCGCCCCATTGGGCCCCAAATTTCAATTGGGTCCTGTGGGCCCCAGGTGGGCCCCATCGAAAAATGTTACTTGGGTTTTTTGTTTGGGAAATTACGCTCTTTCCAATGATGTGCATATTGCCGGGGTTGGTCGCGAAATTAGGGGCAATACTTAGAAAGGGCCTCTTTGGGGCCCTCTTTGGGCCCCTTCCTTTGGATTCCCCGGTAGGTTTCTTCAGCCGGATTAAAGAGGGGGCCCAGGAGAGTGTCTGTGCCAATTTTGAAGAAAATCGTAGGGGCCGCCCCATTGGGCCCCAAATTTCAATTGGGTCCTGTAGGCCCCAGGTGGGCCCCATCGAAAAATGTTACTTGGGTTTTTTGTTTGGGAAATTATGCTCTTTCCAATGATGTGCATATTGCCGGGGTCGGTCGCGAAATTAGGGGCAATACTTAGAAAGGGCCTCTTTGGGGCCCTCTTTGGGCCCCTTCCTTTGGATTCCCCGGTAGGTTTCTTCAGCCGGATTAAAGAGGGGGCCCAGGAGAGTGTCTGTGCCAATTTTGAAGAAAATCGTAGGGGCCGCCCCATTGGGCCCCAAATTTCAATTGGGTCCTGTGGGCCCCAGGTGGGCCCCATCGAAAAATGTTACTTGGGTTTTTTGTTTGGGAAATTACGCTCTTTCCAATGATGTGCATATTGCCGGGGTTGGTCGCGAAATTATGGGCAATTCTTAGAAAGGGCCTCTTTGGGGCCCTCTTTGGGCCCCTTCCTTTGGATTCCCCGGTAGGTTTCTTCAGCCAGATTGAAGAGGGGGCCCAGGAGAGTGTCTGTGCCAATTTTGAAGAAAATCGTAGGGGCCGCCCCATTGGGCCCCAAATTTCAATTGGGTCCTGTGGGCCCCAGGTGGGCCCCATCGAAAAATGTTACTTGGGTTTTTTGTTTGGGAAATTACGCTCTTTCCAATGATGTGCATATTGCCGGGGTTGGTCTTGAAATTAAGGGCAATACTTAGAAAGGGCCTCTTTGGGGCCCTCTTTGGGCCCCTTCCTTTGGATTCCCCGGTAGGTTTCTTCAGCCGGATTAAAGAGGGGGCCCAGGAGAGTGTCTGTGCCAATTTTGAAGAAAATCGTAGGGGCCGCCCCATTGGGCCCCAAATTTCAATTGGGTCCTGTAGGCCCCAGGTGGGCCCCATCGAAAAATGTTACTTGGGTTTTTTGTTTGGGAAATTATGCTCTTTCCAATGATGTGCATATTGCCGGGGTTGGTCGCGAAATTAGGGGCAATACTTAGAAAGGGCCTCTTTGGGGCCCTCTTTGGGCCCCTTCCTTTGGATTCCCCGGTAGGTTTCTTCAGCCAGATTAAAGAGGGGGCCCAGGAGAGTGTCTGTGCCAATTTTGAAGAAAATCGTAGGGGCCGCCCCATTGGGCCCCAAATTTCAATTGGGTCCTGTGGGCCCCAGGTGGGCCCCATCGAAAAATGTTACTTGGGTTTTTTGTTTGGGAAATTACGCTCTTTCCAATGATGTGCATATTGCTGGATTTCGTCGATGTTATAGGCCTGAAATTGTTGAAAACGTTTATTTATGCCCCGAGGGCATACTCCCGGGCCCATATATTTGAAGCTGTTTTGTTCGGTTCAGGGGGGCGCTAGCCCCCTAAATTTGGTACCGTTGTACGTAAAATTTTGTCCTCTTTCGAATGACGTGCATTTTTAGCTGTTTTGACGGCTAGAAGTAGGGTTTTCAAAGTTCGTCGATTGTGCCCTGAGGGCATACTGTTTTTTGGGATTTGTGGCCCCCCTGATGGATTCCCCGCATTTTGGCACTAGGATTTTCGATAGAGGACACCATTCTGCACCTCTCCACCAAAATTCAGCGAAATCGTAGGGGCCGTCGATCCCTGCTGAATCCCTGCTGAACCCCTGCTGAATCCCTGCTAACTTCCGTTACATATTTTGTATTTGCTGCGCTGTTGATGCCTAAGTGTGTTACTTCCATATCATCAAAATGCTGTTAAAAAAATAGCAGATTTTTTTGTAATTTACAAGAAAACGGACTTGAAATATGTAGGTCAAATTTCTTGCTCAAAATTTTGCAAACAAAATGAAAATTTTGAATGGTTTTATCACAAAAATGCTAAGCTTTTTATAAATTTTAGTAATAATTCGGAATATAAATTGAAGTAAAAAAAATAGCTAGTTGGTAATATGGTAGCACAACCAGGATCATATCCTGCGCACCTGAGACAATACCTGAATTTCGACTTTCCGTCACGTGGGGAAAACTTGTGTGGTTTTGTGTTTATGTTCCAAAAACAAAAAGGCATTGGAAAGGATGGGTTAGAAAAAATTGATTTTCCAATCAGCCCCTTGTGAAACATCTCCTGAAAGCTTAAAGGGACCCTCCCACCTTCAAAAAAGTTAATGAATTGGCATGAAAGTGATGTCCCCTGGTTCAGAAAGAGCGAAAACGATTATCTACCAAATTTCACCGAAAAATATTCACTGGTTTTCAAGATATTAGGCTTTTACTCTTGTTTACTTTTTGGGATCTCCCCTGTTACTAGCGACTTTATTTGGAAGCAATAATTTGGCAGCCTTAAAGTGCGGCAGACGTTGCGCGCAAAGCAGCGTATACCACCACGTGTTAACGATGGTTTTAGTCTAAGATTTAAAAATCGTTAGATCTCCGCTGACGTCACAAATTCTAAGGGGGCATTCCAATGCATTAGCCCCTTAGAATCCGAAAACTGCAAGTTTGAAATTCCATATCTTCGAATTAAAGCATTTTTCGATGTTGTGAGTGCCCAAACCGGTATTTGCAGGCCATGGCCACCAATTTGGCTATCTCAACTCAAAACTAATGTTAAGGTGGGAGTGTCCCTTTAAATTTTTATCCCCTCCTGCTGGATTAGTAGGTAGGTACCGGCGATACTTCAGTGCAGTGTGCACCTTCTAATTCAAATTTAAAACAATAGGTCAAAACAATAGGTCAATACCGTAAACCGGGGTGACTTTGTATCACTTTTGACCAGTTTGGTACAATATCTTGTATATCACTTGAGATTTCACTCTGGAAACTGTTTCATCATACCAATTGGACAATTCTCTATCTAACTGAGTACAATAAATGCCTTGAAATTTATCATAAATATTTTATTTTTTTACCAAAAAATTGATCATTCTCACCCAGACGTCGGGGTGACTATGATCACTACATTAAAATCACCTTATGTGTGCCATAGGAGCACTCAGAAGGGGCTTGTGTGATAAAATTACATGCTTTGAATAAAATCAAAGGCTTTGCTTGACAAAAACTCACACATTTTACAGTAAAACTATGAATCATTGAGATATTAAAATAAAGTTGCATGCTCTGGGTCTAAACTGACATTACAGAGCTATAAGCAGCAAAATTAGCTACTTTAACCTCTGACTTCAAGATTAAGTAACAGTCACAGATGTCCTAAGCCACAGGCTACCTGTTCTACATCACACTTTGTCTGCTGGTGGCTGTGGGACCACTTGCCACACTGTTCATGCCCCTCCCAGCTGATTGTCTTTTTCACTTCCCATTGACGCTCCAATTACCACTGAGATAGAGCAGCTCAATGCTCATCCTCCATCATCAGTATCTAAGCCTTTCCTTTCTCTTTCTTTATCTGGGTCTTTCTCATCTTTACCATTATTTTTGCTGGAGATGCTAGCAAATTTATACTTCATGCCAATGGCAACAAAAAACAAGCTGTGACATGAACATGATTATTCTAACTGGGACCCAAAGTGTCTGATATAATGCTTCATTGCTTTATTTAACTATTGGCATAGAAAATACAGTTCACAGCAGCTAATTGCTCATTTGAGGCCCAAAATTGGTCTATGATCAAAGTCACCCCGGGTATCATTGTCACCCCGGTTTACGGTAGGTAAATTGAGGTGGCTGGACTTGGCGCCCGCGCATGTTAGGAAGTTAGGCTAAAATCAACTTCTTACCTCGTATTCTTACCTCGTTGGGTTCCATCATGTCTTGGGTTTCAGGATGGCAAGAAGGAAGGCAAATGAGGAATGAGAGAACCCCAAGCACAAGAGACGCGCCAGTCCTACGTTACAAAGGCTTTCCTAATTCGTGCAGTTTAACATTGACTGGAATTGTGCGTCTCATCATAGTAAAGCCTGTTGCTTTTCCTATGTTCAGAAAAAAACATACATACAATATGAGCACATTGTCGCAAGCATAATCACAATGTTGGGTACCTGTCAATCTAAATAGTTATAAAGGCTGTCTGTTATACATGTGTCAAGCAAGCATTTGAAACTGGTAACATCTGGTGCGCACACAACATCATATGGCAACGAGTTCCAGAGTGAAATACATCGAATGGAGAAAAATCGTTTTCGCGTGTCGGTTGCTGTGACGGGGAAACACTTTGTTTAAGGTGTGGCTCCAGTCTGCAAAGCATGGCACTTTCAATGAGATTGCATCTTGATCTCATTGGTGTGGGCCTCTTGGCTGTCGCAGGTTGGGTGCAGTGTGGTGTAGATTTGGCGATTTAGCTTGGTGAGAGATATGATGGACCACACGAGATCGATAAGGAAAATGGAAAAACATTGTAGGAGCTTAAACTTGTAATTAAGTTCAGTCTGCTCTCAGGGCCGTGTTTCACGGCATTGCAGCGTGCTGCCGTGCATTGTTTTATTGGCGCGACATTTTAAGATGAATTCAGCTTGACACCCCAGTGTTGTGAGCATCTGAGTTTGTTGATGTTTCTATGGAAACCCAATACACTGCTACTCACAGCACAGTTGTGAAACACCACCCGGGGCCAGGTTTGAGTGAGTGTGTGGTGGTCAAAATGGACTTGCCAGGGGCATGTACTGAATATGGTTCTTGTGGTAAGTGATAAGGGAGAGGGACACACTTTGTAGTTTGTGTAGGTAGTCATTTTGTAGTTTGCTCTATTCAGGTCAGATACCTTTTGCCTCACACAGTGTCTGTCAATCACATTGTCTCCCTATTGTTCACAGTTTGTCTCCATTTTGCAGCTGTCTGCAGCCATGGGCCTGACGAAGCAGTACCTACGTTTCGAAGCAGGTCCGGTGTTTGGTGTGATCGGCAGCCGCGACTGCAACATATGCTGGCTGGAGCTGAACAAGGTGTCGCGCCGGTACGTGGCGGCGGCCGCCTGTGAGAAGGTGTGTGTCTGGGACACGGTGACCGGCGAGCGGCTGATGGTGCTGCACGGCGGCGACAGCGAGGTCACCTGTCTGGCGGCGCACCCGGCGCGCGCGCTGCTGGCCGCCGGCTGCGCGGACGGCTCGGTGCGCCTGTTCTCGCTCAGCTCGGGCGACCTGCGCGTCACGCTCACCGGACACCGGTCGGCCGTCAGCTCCGTGAACTTCGACTCGGCCGGCATGCGACTCGTCTCGGGGGGAAAGGTCAGTCTGATTTTGGATATTTTCCTGCAGATGCATTGTACTCGGATGGTATACTCGATAGTCGATCGAGTTACTTCTAGTCTTCCCCTACCGTTTATGGTAAGTTTGAAACGTTTTTCCCTATTTTTTTAAGAAAAAGTTATGCTATGCTTATACACTGCAGTGTTCACTTGTAATAACACTGCATTTCTTCATTCATCATTGCTACCACCATTTCAGCCTTTAGATATCTCCTTTCGGCTGTTCTCGGATCGATAATGTGTGTTCACCCTGTGACCGTGCGTCTGGCGGCAGGACAACGAGATCGTGGTGTGGGACGTGGTGGTCGAGGCCGGCCTGTACCGGCTACTGGGCCATAAGGGCGCCGTCACCCAGGTGCGCTTCATGCACCAGCACAACTGCCTCGTCTCCTCCTCCAAGGACACCTACGTCAAATTCTGGGACCTGGACAACCAGCACTGCTTTAAAACGCTTGCCGGCCACCTGACCGAGGTGAGACACGCTCCAAAATGTTTTGGGCGTTTTTGCGCCCTCTTTACATATTTAGGTTTCTGAGTCATTTAGCGATATGAGAACACCTTGGAAATGCTCTGAAATAGTTTTAAAGAGTGCTGACTGACTGGTGTCGACTGCCTCAGGTGTGGGACTTTGTGCTCACGGAGAACGACTCGCGGCTGGTGACGGGCTCCGGGGACGCCGAGCTGCGGGTCTACACGCTCCAGTTCACGGAGGGAGACGACGAGCCGCCGGCCAAGGCGGCGCGCGAGGCGCCGGCCGACGGAGACGAGGATGGCCTCGAATCAGACAGGGTCAGTTTGCCGTTGCGACTCCAGCTCGCCACCGGGTTTGCGTAGATTTTATGTATGCGAGCGGAATTCAGAATGGGATTTAACGATAACTACGGATCGAAATGGCCATCTACTATGTATATTTTCCTAGAATCATCAGCTGAAGTGGCGGCAAGTTTATAACAAGACGCCTTATAAACCTGTACTGCGGACTATAATACGTTTACTGATATGCATGCAGGCATTGATCTCTGATATGTACATTTGTGTATTTCATAAAATCACTGGCCGTCTTTTAAATCGGTTGGTCTCCTTTTCAGTCGAACTTGGAGTGCGTCCGCCTGGGCAGCATAGTGCGCCAGGGCAAGGGACGCGTTTCACGGATGGTCATCGATAGGCATTGTCGGCTGGTCGGTTTCCATGGCAATGACAACACGCTGGAGCTCTTCTTCCTGAACACAGAGGATGACATCGCCAGGCGGCGGCAAAAACGCATCAAAAAGGAGCAGAAACGTGCCAGGTACGAACTAACCGACCGACGTTCTTGTCGATATGGCGAAGGTTTTCCTCCTAACCTTTGCGAGGGCCATAACTGACCAATCAACTGTGACAGTTTAAGACAGAGCGTTGATATGAAATGCGTCTACTGTTGACTGTTAACATTTTCCAGGGAGGCTGGAAAGGAGGCGACGCCGGCCACCCAGGCTCTGCAGGATGAGCTGCGCCGACTGCCCAGCATCAACTGCCCCTCCAAGGTCAAGGCGGTGGACGTGTCGCTAGACGGACAACAGGCCAAGGTGAGGTCTGTGGGTCGACCAGGGGGCGAGATCCGTGAACTGGGGACGACCCGCGGCTCACTGATAACATGACATCGCTCCTGGCACTGCCGACGAGCTCCGACAAAATAACGGCAAATCGTTTGTCATAAAGGTTGCAAGGTTCATAAAGGTTGCATAAAGGAGCAGCGGTGAGTACGATAGAAGTCCACTACACATTTCTCAATTCGTCTGAAGTTTGCCAATTCAGCTAGGAAGGCTTAAACTTTTGCTGAATGATAGAAAATACCTGGCATAGCAGGACACTGCAATCATATGTATGTACTGTTATCCAAATGATCCGTGACGAGCTTTCGTAAGCCTGCGGCTTGGCTGGAGTAGCACGGACCCGAAGCACGGCTGTTGAGGCAGGAATCCTTGTCGAGCGGGGATCCAGAGTCGGCCCCAATCTAGTCTGGTGACAGGGTGACGAGCGGTGGTGTCTCAGCTGAATGGGCTGCTCGATGTGCGGGCTCTGGGGTCTGTTCAGTACGGTGACGAGCGAGCGGCGGTGTTTCAGCTGACGGTGCTGCTGGCCAACAACTCGCTGGCGGTATACGATGTGCGCGTTGAGGCGCGCTCGGACGGCGCCGTGGTGCAGCCGGGCAGCCAGCTGCTGCTGCCCGGCCACCGCTCCGAGGTGCGCGCGCTCGACTTTTCCTCGGACGGCACCGCGCTGCTCTCGGCCTCCTCCGAGCAGCTCAAAGTCTGGAACAGGTCAGACACTCGCTGACATTATTCGGGTGATTTCAGTGACGGGTGTCCTTCTGGTTGATGCTTTTTAGAAGGGCTGGGCTTTTTTCGTTTTGGGCAACTTGCCCGTCCTCGATGACAGGGACTCAGATTCATTTTGTGGATGGACGCTTACAGGTATAAGAAAAATATTGCACCTATTCATTATTCATCCTTGCATAAAACTTTGTTGCGACATCCGTAATTAGTGGATGTATGCAAATATGTCACCACTTAACAGCAACTCGTTGTAGATTTACGTTTGGGGGGAGTCAGGGCCTATGTTTATGTGTGCGTTTGTGGTCAGGTCGACCCACCAGTGTATCCGCACGCTGGACTGCGACCCGGCGCTGGCGGCACTGTTCGTCCCCGGCGACCGGCACGTGCTGGTCGCCGGTAAGTCGGGCCGGCTGCAGCTGCTCGAGCTCGCCTCGGGAGCGCTGCTGGAGAACGTGACGGCGCACGGCGGCGAGATCTGGGGCATGGCGCTGACGCCCGACAAACGCGGCTTCGCCACCGCCTCCGCCGACAAACAGGTCAGTCTATAAAGGAGCAAGTTATTCTACAAAATACAAGCATAGAACAGTGCACTTGTCAACACTGGGCGGTCAACAGACAAGTAGATATTCTGGCCGTGGACGTGAACTGCAGGTCAATCTGACTGTACGAACAAACTGGTCGTTCCGCCGACTCGGAGTCATATCGTGGTTTAGTAAGGAGTATTGCCTCCGGAAGGTGAAGCTGTAGCACTTTTTGTATACTGATTGCCTCCCGTTTCTCCAGTTGAAGCTGTGACGGTATTTGGAGACCGACTTCCTTCCCCACTGTCTCTCAGGTGAAGCTGTGACTGTATTTGGAGACCGACTTCCCTCTCCCCTGTCTCTCAGGTGAAGCTGTGGCGTTTCGAGCTGGTCTCCACCGAGCAGGACCGCCGGCGGCTGTCGTTCCTACACACGGCCTCCCACACGCTCTCGGACGACTGCCTCAGCATTCAGTTCTCTCCGGACGGACGGCTGCTGGCGGTGGCGCTGCTCGACTCCACCGTACAGATCTTCTTCACAGACACCATGAAGGTACGACTGCCTCTCCCCTGTCCCATTGCCCCATCCGACGAGGCGGTACGAACACCTGACTCGTCCTCCGGATTCCGGAACCTTGTGGTGCTCAAGTTATGGACTTCGTGTCTGGGCCCTGGCGTGCGACGGCTACCCTGTTGAAATGAAACCCGGGAAATTAAAAGGTGCTGAACTGTGGTGAAGACTGGTTTGTAGAGATTTACAGTTTTCAATAAAAAGAAAAAAACTGAACAGATACTTCAGTGTTCTAACAAAGTTACCCCAGCTGCGGCTGTTCTGGTCCTGTCTTGCACCAGCTTTATCGACTGACCCCACTCTACTCCCTCAGCTGTTCCTGTAGCTATACGGTCTTTGACTGCGGGAATTCTGTATAAACACAAGTCACGACAGCTCCCACCTCCCACTTCGCTGTCCCTGTGCCGACTGACCCCCCCCCCCCCTCCCAGCTGTTCCTGTCTCTGTACGGCCACCGTCTGCCCGTCCTCTGTATGGACATCAGCCACGATTCCACGCTGATAGCCACCGGCAGCGGAGACCGCAACGTCAAAATCTGGGGACTCGACTTCGGCGACTGTCACAAGTAAGGAATGCACCATCTCAGTTTCACTGTGCGTTATCTATATACCAACAGCAACATTACAGCTAATGTATCTGGTGATGGCCCGTGTATCCAGCTGCATCGAGCATGTTTTTCAGTCATGTTATTGTCCATGCATCGATTATTATCATAAGCGTGATCTCTTGTACCGACTACCGTGTTATAATCTGATAGGTCTTGGGCACGTCTTCGCCGAAGAGTTCCCCAAAGTGTTGTTAAATCACTTGTGTTCGTTTGGCAGATCGCTGTTCGCGCACGACGACAGTGTGACTGGTCTCAAGTTCGTCCCTCGCACGCACCATTTCTTCACGTGCGGCAAGGACGGCCAAGTGAAGGAATGGGACGCCGACTCTCACCAGCGGATACAGACGCTGCAGGGCCACTGCCGCGAGGTGCTCGCGCTGGCCGTCAGCCCAGACGGTACGTGGGAGATACGGGATGCCACACGGTCGACACCCACGGTACGCGGGGGAGTTACACTGTCAGCTCTGGCGGCACGCGGGAAGGTAGCAGTCAAGTGTCAACCCCAGTGGCACATTGCAGCAGTGGGGAGCCAAACGGCAGCCATACCTACTGCCAAGGGTGATTGGTAGATGACTGTGGAGAGGCGTTGGGACGGTCATAGGTACTGTGTTTCGGGTGCTTGACATTCATAACCTCACTAAGAAAATAGGAACATCTGTGTTCGTATTTGTTCAGAACATCAGCTGTGAGTTTGCTGTACTCTCTGCCGCTGAACCGGTGTGTTTGTTGCTCTCTCCGCCGTGCAACTGAGTCTCGGCGCTGCGTTGCAGGCCGCCACGTGCTGAGCTCGTCTCGGGACCGCTCGCTGCGCCTGTGGCAGAAGACGGACGAGCCTCTGGTGCTGGAGGAGGAGCGGGAGGAGGAGAGAGCCAAGGAGGAGGAGCGGCGCCTGGCCACCGGGCCGGCGGCCGCCGTGCCCGGGGAGACGGACCGGGAAGCGGGCAGGGCCGGACACAAGACGGCAGACACCGAGAGAGCGGTACGTACGGCACGCACGGACCAACCTCCTACACCTGTCCCACTGCCTCCGGCCACAAGACGGCCGGCACAGCGGGCGGTACGGACAGCGAAATGGGACTGAACGCAAACGACTTGTCCCAAACGTGAGCTCCCGATTTGGGACTGAAGTCGGACAAATTATATACCCATTTGGTGTAAATCATATCCCTGCATAATTATTGACAAGTACTGAGCATTGACGACGTGTGTTGACTTTGCTGCTACTGCTCCTAAGATACGTTGTGTGTTTGCAGGCGGAGCGGCTGATGGAGGGAATCACCATCTACAAGCAGATGTCGCGGGCACTGCGTCAGTCCAGCACGGCGGAGCTGCACCCGCTGATGCTCGCCTACGGATGCTCCACGCCAGACGCCTTCATGGCTGAGGTGCTGAGGCGCGTCAAATCCAGGTGTGTGGTCGGCGGTATGGGTGAAGGCCGACGGTGGGTGCCGCGTTTTGTCCGGGTGGTTAGGCGAAGGTCACTGGGTGGCGGCATTATGGGACAATTGTTTTGTAGCGCAACGACCGATTATCTTTTATGTACGATTGATTGCCATGGAAAAAGAAACTCACAGTTTTCAGTTTATGTGAGATTTAGAGTAATACATCGTTTTCGTATTGCCGTATTGGTTTCCCGACCCGTATAACCTCTCCCCACCCCCGGTGCTTGGGTCAGTGAGCTGGAGGAGAGTCTGCTGGTGCTGCCGTTCAGCTACGTGGCTGACATGCTGTATATCCTGGAGCGGCTGCTGGCAGCCAGCGGCGAGGTGGAGCTCGTCTCGCGCTGCCTCACCTTCCTGCTGCGCGTCCATCACGGACAGATCGTCACCAACGGCGTGCTGGCGCCTGTCATCGAGCGACTGCGGGCCGCGGCGGGCCGGGAGATCGGCCAGCTCAGGGTGAGTACGGTGGTACAGCGGTACGGCTGAGGTGCAACAGCAGCTGCGCCGGTCCAAATGCAGCTAATGCTTCAAGTATCTGTTATCTGCCTTGATTTTATCTATTGTGCGATGCACATACACATTGAACATACTGATGGTTGAATTCGGATGGTTGTGTATGTTACAATAATCTCGCAACTTCTTTTTCCACTGTTTCTTCAAGAGACGCGGGCAATAAATACTCTAAAGCCGACAAGCGTTGATCTGACTCCGCCTTTTCTTCCCAGGACCAGATCGGCTTCTCCAGAGCCGGCCTCGAGTACCTGCAGCGGCAGCTCACTGAACGGGAAAACATTTCACTCTTCATCGACGCCTCGGAGCGCGTCAAGGACAAGCGCAAGAAGCGGCGGCGGCGGGAGCGAACGGCGCAGCGTGCCGTGCTCCTGATGTAAAGGACTGCGTGGTCTTTCTGAGCTGCTGCTGTCCAATTATGTCCGCGGCGGGGTGGGTGTGTTAACTGTTGACCTTGGTGGTGCATTGTGGAGAACATGTCATCATTCAATAATGATTTTACCATGAATATAGGCGAGATTTTGGTACATTGTGTCCGGAAATAATCGATGACCACGTTGGAGCTTAGGGTAAAAGCTGCACCCACTAAAACTTACTCCAAACGATGGAAGCGGTTTTGAGGGCTTCAATGGCGATGGAGAACGGTGGTAATTGTCGGCGAGCACCGTACAAAAGCAATAATGTCAGCTGTTGACAGTACCATACCTGCTACAAATCCACCAATGACTGTCGCTCTGTCATTTTATACCAAAAATGGCCAACCAAGGTCCGCGGATTTGGTCCATTTGTATTCATTTCTTTGTCCATTCCCCGTCTCACAGCACAGCCCGCGATGTTCCTGCCGCAAACACACGCACGTTCCTGTCCTCTGCCTTGAACTGCCTGAGCAGCGCGGCCTCGCCGGGCCGCCGCAGCTCCAGCTCGCCCGTGACCTCTGCGCAGTGACCCGAGCTGAGGCCGCGCACTGTGACGGCCAGGTCGGCGCTGCCGGCCACCGCCGCCGCCAGCTGACACAGGGTCCGGTCGTCGGCGTCCCGAGAGGTGAGCGTGGCCAGCGCGGCGTCCCGCCGGCGGCACCAGCGCTGCAGGTTGTGCACCAGCAGCAGGAGGTCGGCGGGCCGACAGCCCAGCGCCGCCAGCGCCGACAGGTCGTCCAGCACCAGCAGGGAGGCGCTGCGGTCAGCGCTGCCGGTCAGCTGGTCGAACACGGCCCGCACCGGCAGCGGCCCGCCGGCCGTCAGCGCGCCCGAGTCCGAGCGCAGCGCCCGCGCCGTCAGCTGCGCGCCGTCCACAAAGGTCAGCGCGCCGGCCGCCTCCGCCTGGCGCACGTCGGCGCCGCACTTGGCGCACAGGTGCCGGTAGTGCGCGGGCGGCTTGTCCAGCGCTAGTACGCGCACGGCGCCGCCCGCGCGCAGCGCTCGGTTGATGAGGTGGCACAGCACGAAACTGGCGTCAGCGGGCGGCTGCTCGGTGACGGCCAAAAAATGGCCCTGGACTGTGTCTGTGTGAAGCAGGTCCACCAAATCAGTGAACATTGTGAAAACCTGTAATGAACAAAGAAGATACCATTACTGACCAGCAAACATTTACCAATCAATGAGAAATTCACATTGAAAATCACAATTCAGTGCAGCTGACTATAGCTTTGGCCATGTCATCAGAATTGACTAATGACTATGATCTGGTCTGTATTCAGCTCAGTGGGTAACTGGGTGTTCTACTGGATCACAAATTGAAATACCAATAATGACCATCAAACATCCCTTATGAGTCCCCTCCCCTCTAGTTAAATGCCATCTCCACATCTCTAGAGTGGTTGGGCCAATTGTGCTAAAATTTTGTAAGTTGTTGGGGAATGGTGAGTCTGGCAGACTGCCTTGCATATGACAATTGGGGTCTTTGCCTACAAAAGGTCTATTGATGTAAGTGTGCATATGTGCAGCTCCTATGTCAAAAGCATGGCTATGTGAATTGGATCATTTGCTCTTAGAATTGGTACCTAGCACCAACATTAACTATAGATCAACCAGACTTTGTGCCCTTGTTCTTACCAAGGGCAAGGGTTAGAAAGGTCTCACTCTCAGTGCATGGAACAAGTCCTCTACTTTGACCCAGAGTCAGGTTCATCAGCCATTGTCACTGGTCCTTGGGCACCAGAATAAAGCTAGGACTGTCTTAAGCACATATCAAAGTTTGTTAAACTCCATCAGCCAAGCAGTTGCTGGGGTATTTCAAGTACTTGAAAGTTCAACTTTTGAGGTCACAGGTCAGGTCCTAGGGTATTTATATACTTTAGGTCCGCAAAAGATACGGATATATAAAAGCCATTCACAAGACACTCTAAGATCTCCTGATTTCATTTCTGATACTTATTCCTTCTAGAAACGAATTTAAAAGCAACAGCACACTATTTAGTATTTACCGTCACTGCCAACCTCCAGCTCTCATCTCCGACCGGAACTGCGCAGTGCGCGCGTCAAAAGACCGTCCAAGGTTGAGCGAATTTACGAATGATACGAAGTTGTAAGGAAAATGACGTCATAAGAATGAGCGAATTTAAAGATGATACAAAATTGTAAGGAAAGTGACGTCAAAATAATCGTGGCGAAGCAGTGCAGTGCCGAAGGCACTGCCTTAGGAGAGATTACAGGCAATGGTAAGTCAAATATTTTTAGGTTAAGTGGTTGTGTATCTGGCTTCAGGCCGAAGGCCTGAAGCCTGATGCATAACCACTTAACCTAAAAATATTTGACTTACCATTGCTTGCAATCTATTCCTGCAAGTAACTTTTTCCTTATCCCCCGGTAGGCAAACATCAGTAGGTCAGGTTAGGTAAGGTTTGATTATGTTGTGACCATTTTTTGATGTTTCATTGGCTTATGACGTCATTTTCATAATGTCAAAAATCAAATGAATATCCACATAATTTATTATTCAAAAGGGCAACGTTGTACGCTTCATTTTCTTCGCAGGCGTGGTTTTTCTTCGGTGTATTTATGCAGTGCGGGGTGGGTTTTTGGTATCTTTTTTTTACATTTTTGACGCATTTCAACATCATATCTGAATTCAGGACATCAAATAAGGTAAAAATGTGAATTTTTCTCGTTAACGGTTAAAAACAGGTTTGCGGACGTAAAGTAAATATTTACCGGTCCTAGGCCATGTCAAACACGGAATCTGGCTTTCAGTAGGATTACAATTTGTTTACACTGTGCACAATCCTTCATATAACCACTACCCGAGTGAGTGTCATCCATATCAGTTGGGCAAACTAGGCGGCGGAAATCAAAATATGGAGGCATCAAAATATTGATTCTAGTGGGCGGAGCTTTGACCATATATGGGCATACGTGCAGACCATCACAGAAACGTCAATTCTTCAGCAACCGGCTAAAATTTCAAGATAGTTTCTTCACAAAATGAAGAGCAACGTTGAAGCTACCCGCCAGGCACGAAACAATAGCCCTAACCTCTTTGGTTAGTTTAGGAAAGCGTCTTGAAAATAATCAAGATATTGATTCATCGCGGCGGCTAATCCCGGCGAGAATCAATATTTTGATTCCGCAAACAGCTGGCTAATCATTATTTTGATTCTGAAATCAGCTGGTTTATCAATATATTGATTCTGCGAACGGACTTTCTGCAGACGTACTTCACTCTTTAAATTGATTTATGGAATGTTTCTTGTGTGCAAATAATGCAAATTCAATAAATTCATGAAGATATTATCAGCACAGGATCGTGTATTTTTTTTCTAGACCTTATTCCCACGGTAGACCAGGGATTTTCAGCACTCGCCCTGGCTCCCTGCTCAAAGCTGCAAGCCTTCGAGGGAATGCGTGAAGGGAGCCGTGCTGACCTTCGTATAGGGGTTGTACTGAGTCGGAGCCGGAACCGAAGCCCGACCATTTTACTCGGAGCCGGAGCCGGAGCCGGAGCTGGAGCCGATTTTTTCCTCCGGAGCCGAAGCCGTCTGACATTTTCAAGGCTCCACATCCCTGCTTTGTAGCATTGATTTTGAGTAAAAAAAAGTTAACTGATCGTCTTTCACGTGTTCATGAATGTGTTTCTACGCATCTGTATCCCGTCCCATTTCTGTGGAGTACCTACAGTAAGAGATATTTCGCCGAACAATATACTCAAGCCCGTTGCACAAATTGCACAATTTGAATGAAAATATGATACACGGATGTATTTGCATTCGCAAATAATACGATGATATTCATAACACATTTCACAACGATCCCCGCAATTGCCACACATTTGCCATCACAAAGCCCTGTCGTTGATGCTCACATCCCATGCAAAGCAATACTCACTTTTAGGACACGTCTCTTATTCAATATGGCTACGTGTTTGCAAAACATGCATATTTGAAACATATTTGAAACTGAGACCTAACCAATAAGACATACCGTGGGCGTGGACAGGTAAGAAAAAACAAATAAACGTCTGGAGAATGACCTCAACGTCTCGATGTTGCCTAATTACAAAGAGCAATTTTCGGTTTCGAATCAAATACATCAAAACAAAATTTGTACAGATACACTCAATATAGGGTTTATGATTAGCACGGCTACCTAAAACATCAATCCTGTCAGGTTGAGCCACTTATGTCCACACCCAAAGCAGGTCGCTTTGGAACACCACAAGATCCCATATTACCACCGAAAACGGTCACCAATTGGTCTACTGATCAGCATCTTCAGAACATTCTCGACCGAAAAGCTATCAGTCCTGTCTGTGTTTTGGTTCGCTTCATTTGGGCTATGCGCACGTTTTTCTACTCCGGTTCTAGGGACGAGATAGCAGTCATCACGCGCTGCACCAGCTCGTTCTTTGACAGGTTGGTGACGCTGTCGTCATCCGGCAGGATAAACACGTGGCGCATTTCACCCTCGGCCCCGCCAGCCACATACACACTTCCTTACGTCATATTGTTTCTCGCCACGAGATCAAAGTTCAAAAGGTCGTGATGTAGGTAGTCTCCGACCAGCCCGAGTCAGGTACTCCACCGGTTGGTCGGGTGCGGCCAGGTCCGCGCAACGCCGCCCTACTTCGGTCGACGCTCTGGTTGACAGGGGTGGCGTTGTCATACAGTTGCCTGTCGACTGAACAGCGATTCAAGACGCCATCCTTGACCCTCTGAAGTCGATCCCCGCAACGACCAGTGTTTGATCCTTGGTTGACCTGCAGCAAACAACAGAAACACAATAATTAGGACATTTGTGGACAATAAATTAGGAAACTATATGTGTTATTAATCTACTTGTTCAGCGACTATTAATTTTAGAATATATTCAATAAAAAATTAAATACTTAATGTCACTTAAATTTCCACTGAACGCCACGCTGAATGGCATACACCATTCAGCAACTTGCTTTTGTTACACTTAAAATAAGCATCATTAAATATGTAGCAAAATTGGGCGAAGCAATTACAAGCCAAGCCATACATACCTACTGATAAGGCAAACACGAACATGCACTACGACCTTTCAATCTTAACTCGGAACAAGTCAATAACCTAGTTGCCCTTTAAAATTTAAATGCTACAAATTAAAGTTGTAGCAACAATTGGGTGAGTGAGACACAAGCAGAGGCTAAAACATCCAAATTATGTAAAATACTGGACATGCACTGCCCCCATTTCATGAGTCCACCCAACAATTCTATCATGTGAGACAAAACATTAGGCTTCTTGTAACTAATTTATACCGTAACTTTTAAAGGACATCATATTTCACTGAAATACTACACCTAAGACATCATTTTCAAAAAAAATATAGCTTAAAAAGACAATAGAAGAGTGAGAAGGCGTCCCGCGCTGCTGACGTCGCTACCGCGCCATGTTCCTAAAGCCATCTCTTAAAACGAGTTTTCGGTAAGAAACGTTAAGATCACATGCCTGAAATTGAAAAACACACTTCAAAGTATCTTAAAATATGATCCATTGTTACTTACACTTCAGAAAAGGTCGCTTAAACAAAATAAAACCGGGAGCACTACGTTGCATCTAAACACCCACGGCGCCGGCGCGAAATGGCGGGAACCGGAAATCGTGGCTAGATACAAAGAAAAAGAATATTTCTTATAAATGAATTATACAACTAAATAACGCATTTTTTATTTTCTTTTAGACAAAATTATGAAAAAAATTACAAAGGCTCGTCGTTAATGATAAACAGAGCAAGTTTTAACAGCACGTTTTTGTTGAATTATGGCGGCGAAATCTTTATGCCATTCGTAAAGGTACGCGCGACAAACGGCTGATAGCCATGCAGCGAAAAATTGAAGCGGGGAAGTTTTTTGTATTGACTTGTCAAAAAATCTCGCCGTCATGGGGGTTATTTCCGCCGTAACGGGTCGTCTGAAGGTGGGAATGTCCCAAATTGAATCAAAATATTGATTCTATGCCCATATATGGTCAAAGCTCCGCCCACTAGAATCAATATTTTGATGCCTCCATATTTTGATTCCCGACGCCTAGTTTGCCCAACTGATATAGGGGTCAGGTCAATCCGGTGACCAGTAAGAGCACATCCCCCAATGCAAACAGACTGAGACATTCACAGCATATGGCACATGTTTTCTTGGTGCTTTTAGGCAAATAACGTGATCGTGACATTCATTTAATCAAACTAGTATGTGTTTGATCGAAAAAGATCAATTTATGAAACACACGCAAACCCGAGCCTTGCCCGAGCCTCTGAATTTGAGTAGAATTTCATTATAGGTATCTTGGAATTTCGGCTCTCTCTATCGTCTGGAGGTTTCGAAAGATGCTCTCCAGAGATGGCGCTAGTAAGTTTGGCTGACATGACGTCATGCTTAAAAGTGATGGGTTTTGTGAGAGCAAATGTAATAATAGTTGAAAATTTTGTACTTTTGCTTAATTGAGAAAAAATGAATTTACAATTGTTCAAAACAGCGTTTTCCTCATTCATCCTTCATTGTTTTAAGAGGAATATAGACAGTTTAAATCTTTTGTCCTGACCGCAATTCGCACACGCACTAAATTAAAAGCTGGAGTTTTGTGCGTTCGTAAGTCGTGATTTGAGAAAATAAATTGACAATAATCTTTTGCACTTTTGCTTTACAATCATTTTTCAATGTCGATAAATGCATGAATTATTCGAAAATAGGCATATCTTTGAAATATTATGATTTTCCACAAGCAAACTTTTCCAAAAACTTGAACTACTTACAACTGACGAACGCATCCAATAATCTGGATGTCTTAGGATGAGTTCGTCATTTTTTTCCCAAGGAA